TTTCAAACAGGTTTTCGATTTCTTGTTCTCTCTCTTCTCCTTCCGGCACCCCCAAGATGCGAATGTTGGCACGCCTGAAGTTGTCCCAGAGGCTCCTTACACTATCCTCATTTTTTTGGATTCTTTTTTCTTTTTGCTGTTCTGGTTGGGCGTTTTTTGCTTCCTTATATTCCAAATCGATGGTTTGCTCCTTGGATTTACGTACTCTATTATTGAAGCTGTGTAAATTATTCTTTATTTCAGTTAAAGCCTCCTTCGTTTCTAACTGTGCAGCGATCGTTTCTGACTGGTACTTTTTTATGCTCTTGAGGCCCTCACTGAGTTCATTGAGCATCCTTATAAGCAGTATTTTGAACTCAGCATCTGTTAGGTTGCTTATCTCCATTTCGCTTAGTTCTTTTCTTGGGGTTTTGTTCTGTTCTTTCATTTGGGACCTGTTTCTTTGTATCCTCATTTTGCTGCCTCCCTGTGTTTGTTTCAGTGTATTACTTAATGAGAGGTATGGGGCTCGCTGAGACCCGATGCTGCTCGTTTGAAAGAATTTAGGAAAAACCTGAAGCAAGATCCAAGACAGGCCAATCCTATGGTTAAGCAAGTAGCAACAGCTTGGGTGGGCCTGAAAGTTGGGTGAGGCGGGGCCTCAGGGAGTCAGCAGGGCGGGGCTACCAGTGTGAGCCAGGTTGCTGGAGTCCCAGATATGGCGACTGTCTGCCGCCCCCGGGAAGGGCTCACCAAAGGAACAAAGGCCTCTTACAGCACGTTTGTCCCCGAGAAAGTCCCCTCTCCAGCCCTCACTCCAGTGCCAAACAGCTCAGTTCCTCCCTGTAATTCTCTGGTGCCCCTGGAGCTGCCTCCCCTCCAAGCTTAGAGGGAGAGAGTCCGATAAGTCCGTGCGCGGGCCCTTTAGGGAGCTGCCTGTGGCTCCAGCCGCCTCAGCTTCCCTGAACCTCAGTTTCTGCTGGTTTTTCCAGCCAGAAGTTATGGGGACTTCTCTTCCTGGCACTGGAAACCTGAGCGGGGCACCTGGTGTGGGACGGGGACCCCTCAGTCCTCAGGAAGGACCTTCCCAGCCTCGGGAGCCTCCTGATTTTTATCCGCCACACGTGGGTGTGGGACCAGCCCGTCGTGCTGCCGCCGTGCCGCTGCCGCCACCCCTCGCGCCGCTGCCCCTCCTACCAGTCTGGATGTAGCTGCCTTTTTTTTAAATTCCGTAGTTGTAGGACTTCCATTCAGCTTGATTTCAGGCGGTTTTGGATGATGGTTGTTCTGTAGTTTTGTTGTAACTTGGATGTGGTTGTGGGAGAACGCGATACTGCGTTTCCCTACGTCGCCATCTTGACCGGAAGTCCTCGGAAATAATACTTTTAAAAATTGAAATCCATGCAGAAATCCATGATGAACAAAATAGCATAGTTTTAACAGCAGACAGGATCTGGCCCTGGACTTGAAGGATCCTGCCTCTCTCACCTGGCCCTAGTCCTGGCCCAGATCTCAGGCTCCACTCAGACCGTCAGAATCGACGTTCTGATAGATCCCCGGAGAATGTACATGCCCATCAGAGTTGGAGAGGAGCTGCTTTGGAAAATACCTCTCCAGCCATAACTACCCCAAATCTTGGAATCCAGACAGCAGCAAAAATGGAAAGGGATGAGGAGAGATAAAGTTCCAGAAACATCCCCCCCCCCCACCAGTTTGCTGATCATTTGCCTGGATTGGCACATTACCACCTTAAAATTGTACAGTGTTTCGTAGTTTACTATAAACTTTAAAATGGGTTCTATTTTAAAATAATAGGTTCATAGGAGGTTGCAAAGAGAGTACAGAGAGATCCTATGTGCCCTCACTCAGTTTCCCCCAATGGTTACATTTTATGGTTACACAATATGGTTGATACTGTGTAACCATAGCACAATATCAAACTGAGGAAACGGACACTGGTGTATGTATAGTTATAGGTCATTGTATCACATGTGGAGATTCATGTAACCAACAAGGTAGATACAGAGCCCATCACCACAAAGATCTCCCTGGGGCTACAGGGCCATACCCACCCCTCCCTGTCCCACTCTGATCCCGAACTCTTGGCAACCACCAATCTGTATAATTTCTTAGAATGCTATATAAATGGAATCACACATATGCAACCTTTTGAGATTGGCTTTTTTTCACTCAGCATGATGAACTGGAGATTTATCCCAATTGTCACAGGTATCATTACTTTCTTCATTGAATTGTTTTTGCACCTTTGTCAAAATTCAATTGGCCATACTCGTGTGGGGTGATTTCTAGACTCTTGTATTTCATTGGTTTATGTGTCCATGTCTCTGCTTATGCCTCGCTGTCTTGATTACTGTAGCTATATAATAAGGTTTAAAATAGGATAGATTTTCCCCACTTTCTTCTTTTTTTCAAAAAGGGTTTAACTAGTCTAGTCCTTTACCTTTCCATATAAATTTTAGAATTACTTTATAGCAAAAAAACTTTCTGGGATCTAGATAGAAAGTGAATTAAATGTGTATATACCAATTTGGGGTGAATTAATATCTGTATCTTATGAACTCTCTAGTTCTGGGAGTTTCCCTGTAGATTTCTTGCATTTATAAGTAAACTTTCACACCACATGCAAATAGAGAGCCCCCCACACACACCACCATCGATGTCTATGTCTTTTATTTCCTTTTCTTGCTTTATTGAGCTGGCTAGAACTTCGGGTACCGTGTTGAGTAGCTGCATTGAGAGCAGACGTCCTTGCCTCGTTCCTGATCTCAGACAGAGGGCATCTAGTCTTTCTCTGTCAAGTGTAACATCTGCCGTAGGTTTTTATGGGTGTCCTTTGTCATGCTGAGAAAGTTTCCCTCTATCCCTAGTTTTCTGAGTTTTTATTGTGGGGAAGGAATAAATTTCCTCTACTCTTCCAGGTTCTGGGTCCCAAACTCAACAAGGACAGAAGTTCCATTGTTTGGGACCTCAACCTGTGTGTCTCTTCATCTGGCTGTTGATTCTTATCCGTCGAATCCGTTGTAATAAATCATCTAGTGAATAAACGGGTTTCTTGAGTTCTGTGAGCTGCTCTAGCGAATTAGTTCAACCCAAGGGGGAGGTCTTCAGAACCACAGAACTCTACAACACAAAGTGAATTTAATGTAAACGATGAACTATAAATAATAACGTGTCAGTATGAACTCATGGAGTGTAACTAATGTACCACAGTAATGCAAGATAACAATAATAAAATAGGGGAAATGGTGTGTGTGTGTCGGAGCGGGGAGATAAGAACGTGAGGAGCTGAGTATATAGAAATCTATATACTATCTGTTCAAATATTTTATAAATCTAAAACTGTGCTAAGAAAATAAAGTCTATTCATTATTAAACAAACACAAACAAACAAACACCTCTAAGAGATTGCCCATTAAAAGAAAAAGAAGGCAAATGTGATGAGAATATTTTAAGTTTTAAGAGAACCAGCAGGGTCATTCTGGAACCCTGCTTGTCCACCACACAGCGAGCTTTGGTACCCAAGTCCATGTTCACGTACAGAATCACCCCTCACCTGTAAAATAAACCCATGCCTGCCCTGGCTGGTTTGGCTCAGCGGTTAGAGCATCGGCCTGCGGTCCAGAGAGACCCGGGTTCGGTTCCCGCTAAGGGCACGTACTTCAGTTGCAGTTTGTCCCCGGCCCTGGTTGGGTCGTGCGGATGGCAGCCACGTGATGTGTCCCTTTCACGTCGATGTTTCTCTCTCTCCCTTCCACTCTATCTGAACAACAAAATGGAAAGGTGTCCTCACGTGAGGATAAAAATAAATAAAATAAACCCATGCCTCATTTCCCCAGTGGTTCAAGCTCAGACCCTGTTGACGTTGTACAATGAACCCCCTTAGGAGTAAGAGAACCAGTTTTCATCCCCTTCCTAGGTTACTGAATTTTCTCATGACAATGAAATTGGGCATGGCTGGCCAATTTAAAAAAGCAACATCACAAACTCCTTCCTAAGGATAAAAGTCATTTCTCTCCCTGAACTTTCCTCAATGAACTGTAATGGTGGTTTTTTATCTGACTATTAATTCGCTCTGATTATGCAGAAGGCTCTTTTTTGTGCACGCACGCACGCGTGTGTATGTGTGTGGTACGTGCCCCTAGCAGGAACCGAACCTGGGACTCTCTGGTTGTAGGCCGATGCTCAACTGCTGAGCCAAACTGGCCAGGGCTCTTTACACTGGTTTTAGTGAGTTTTCTCTGTGACTGGATGAGGCAATCAGCTCACCTTTCATAATATAAGAAGTTTGCCCTCCCCCTTCCCCACCCCTCCCCCACCCCTCCCCCTCCCCTCCCCCACCCCTCCCCCTCCTCTTCCTCCTCCTCCTCCTTTAAATTACTCCTGCACTTTAGAATTTCTGTAAGTGATCACAGGGGTGAGTTTCAGTGGGTTGCTCCAGCGGGTTTTAATGAGGGGCGTGTTGTAAACCCCCCTAAGGTATACTAGCTCGTCCAGCAGAGGCCCTTTAAAACTGGACTAATATTGAGTTCGAAATCCTTTTGCTTTAGGGGCTGAAATCTGGTTCTATACCTTTTGAATCCCCAACTTCTGCTTTAAAAGTTGGCACTTTCTGCTCTGGTCAGTTTGGCTCAGCGGTAGAGTGTTGGCCCGCGGACCAACGAGTTGAGGGTTCAATTTCGGTCGAGGGCATGTACCTTGGTTGCAGTTCGTCCCAGGCCCTGGTTGGGGTCCTGCAGGAGGCAACCGGTCGATGTGTCCTTCTCACGTCTGTGTTTCTCTTTCTCCCCCTTTTTCTCCCACTCTCCCCCTCCCATTCTATGTGAAGATAAACAGAAAAATATCCTCGGGTGAGGATTAAAAAACTAAAAGTTGGCACTTTCTATTTAAATAGCAAGAAAGGTAGGAGATAAGCCTTCTAGAGCTGAGTGTATTGATTTCAATGATCACATTTAATGCACACCTTTCCTCTCTGTAATGTATGGTTCTCTTCTCCTAATTAGAAAGAGCCAGAGATTATCTGCACAAAACTGGAAGGTTCATTGTGATTGGTGGGATTGTCTCTCCTGTCCACGACTCCTACGGCAAGCAGGTGGGTTCCTCGTTTGCCCCTTTCCTCCCTCCCCCTCCCTGCCTGACCTGCCGGCTCCCCTGGTATTAAACTGCCCACTGCCATTTCTGCTGTGATTCCCGAAAGAGCTAAGTGCCTGGTTGCAGGCACCCTGCTTCCCAGCTCTGGACCATAGTCAGACCTGCGTGCCTGGTGTTGGTCAGCAGCTGGGAGGAACAGCTGCCCACGACCAGGCAGCTCACAGTGCCGGGCTTCGTCCAAGCTCATTAGAAGAGAAGCAGGCACACCTGCTGAGGGCCAAGTGTGACGGCATGGATGCCAAATTAGTGGCTGGTTGGATGTGGGCTAGGCAAGTCTTTCCTGGGATTTTAGGAGGGAAAAAAAAAGGCTTACACCGCTTATAATCCGATTTAAGATTGATTTCCCTGCCCCTTCCTCCCTGCCACATGTCCCAGAAAATCTAGGCACTCTCCCTGTCATTGCCCTCCACCCCCATACAACTTGGAGGGCTCTGGGGGAGGTTACCTAAGTGCCAGATTGAGCCATGAGACAAGACAGCATCTGCCACGTTGAGTCTCATCTCTGTGCTGGGCACGCTGGCTGGTCCGTCAGGGTGGGGGCTCACCTATGGGCCCTGTTGAGGGTGGTCTAGTCCACCCACCCTTCATTCTTTTCCCTTCTCCTCTGCCCCTCCATGCCTGTCTGTGTGACTGATGGACAAGTGAAAGGGGCTCACTCCCTGTCACCACTGAAAAGCGGCTGCACTTTGTGATGGGCTGGCTTGGGATGGTGTCCCGGGGGGGCTGTGGGCAGACGGACATGCCGATGACTGCTCTGTTGCTTCCCAGGGCCTGGTGTCGAGCCGGCACCGTCTCATCATGTGCCAGCTGGCCGTCCAGAACTCCGACTGGATCAGGTAGGGCTGGTCTGAGGATGCCAGGGGCGGGGGCCTGGGCACTCACGGCGGGGAGTGGAGAAAGGGTCGGTCTGGACAGGGGTGGGGAGGCCAAGGGAGAGAGGCACCCTGTCAACACAACATCCTGCTGAGTAGATTCAAAGATTAAATGGGCTTCATTCAAAGATTCCTGAATCAGACAGCATCCCATCTAGCAAGCAGACAGGAGCTCCATGGAAGGCTTCACAGGCAGAAGGGGGAAGAGTGGGCTGTTTCAGGCTTAGGTGACCTCCCTGTGGGGGCAAGAGGCGGCTCTCAGTGACTACCTCACTCGTGCTAACCATTCTAGATTGACTGGCTAAGATGACAGTCCTGGGAGAGGCTGAAACTGCTGTTAAGTTAGGTATAAAGTCTTAGTTTGGTGATATGAGCTTAGCGCAAGTGACTCCATTTTGGGCTTGTTGTCTGACTCCTAACAGCCCCACGCAAGCCACAGTTACGTAGACCGTCAGGGGTGGCCCAACCGATCACTTCATTTTTTAACCAAGCTCTGGGGCCCGTGGAACTGAGGAGGGTTCTCTGAGAGTTTCATCTACTCTGACACCTTCGGATCCAGGAGTATTTTTGGAGCTTTCAAATACGTCACTGGGTTCGGGGTGAGGCATGGCCAGAAAATCCAAAATGCTCCCCTACTTTCACCCCCATTCACTGCCAGGGAAAGTGCCCTGACTCGGGTCCTAGGGCCCCACACTGACTGTGGGACTGGGCTGTGGGGCAGGCGCCGGCCGCTTTGCCCTGGGACAGTCCCGCTAAGATGGCCTGCCGTGTAATTAAAGCAACCTTCCGCTAATTATGTTAATTACACTCCCCGCATCCCCACAGTTATCATTTGTATGAGGAGATGACGTTTCTAAAAAGTAATGGCACACCATTGGTACTGTAATCTCCCTCCACGGAAAAATAAGCAGCACCAGAAGCTTCCAGGAAAGGAGGAGAAGAAAGGAGGAGAAGGAAGACTGATCTCAGACGAGGGGCCCAGAGAGTCAGCGGAGAAGGTGGGGTGGGAGGAAATGAGCAGTGCAGGGGGCACGATGATAATTAAATATTGATCCTTGCCAACTGTGCACTGTGGTTTGTGTGAGAAGCACGTGTTCTTGGTAGACTTTCTCCCCCCGCGAGATATCGGTCAGGCAGAGAGACAGCCGCCTTTTCTCAGCTGACGTCCAGGGGCTTGAGAGCAAACCTGTGGTCAAGTCAGGACTAGAAATGAAGCCTCTTAACATAGTCAGTCGTCATCTGCTGGTGGAAATGGGGTCCAGGGGGGAAGATGCTGGGCAGGAGGCTGTTACTCTCGGCTGAATTCCCTCCTTCATTCAGCAAACACGGGTGGAGCACTTACGGCCTGCCCTGCACTGCCCTAGGCACTTTGGTGCTCAGAATTCTGAGATCACTAGGGAGGCTCAGAGTGAGCTCGAGATGGGGGCTGGGAGTAGCGGGGCCCCTCGACATGGGGGCCTGTTTAGCTAGATCAGGTGTCTGTCCCTCTTAGGGGGGCGCTGGGCAGGGGTCTAGGGGGAGCCAGGCTCAGGGCAGGCTGACTCTAAGAGTTTTTAGTTAGTGCGATCACCTCTCTGAAAGCCTTGGTGGAAAATGTTGAGAAATATACCAATTCAGCAGCTCACTAAGTTTGTAATTAAGGCCGAGTGAGGCATCCGTCGGGCTGGAGCCCTGCTCACTCGTCCTGGTGTGCAGGAGGGGTCAGCCAGCCCGTGGGTCTGTGCCTCCCTGTGGCTGCCAGGCCCACCTCTGTGCCCACAGCACACCTCTGTGCAGGGAGGCAGACAGGGGCAGAGTCCCCGACTTGGGTGACCGCAGCCATCACGAGGGCTTGGCTCTTACACTCCTATAAGGTCCCGAGGAGAATCCCAGGTAAGGATACGAGCACTTTACACCTGACACTCATCAAGCCCTTCCGATCTCCCCACAAGAAGGTGACCGCCCTCAGCCCCGGTTACAGACAGGGAAAGTGAGCAGCGAGAGATCACAGAACTTCCCGGAGGCCTAGGGTCGACCGCGAGCGGACCATCAGCGTCCCTGCGTGTGTGCCCACGCCACACCTCTCCTTCTACAGAGGGAAACTGAGGCTCAGGGAGGTGTTTCCAGCCCATGTTGTATCTGATTTGAGATCTAAGTGCACAGTATGACCAGGGCTGCTGAGCTCCCTGAGCTGTGGTCTTGGGAGGGAACCAGTAAGAAAAGAGACTGGAACCCAAGGGAAACCTCTCTCCGACTCCGACAGGGTGGACCCGTGGGAGTGCTATCAGGACACCTGGCAGACCACCTGCAGCGTGTTGGAGCACCATCGGGACCTCATGAAGGTGAGCTGGGCCGCACGGGGGGTGGAGGTGGGGTGGGGGTGGGGGTGGGGGTGGGGGTGGGAGGGCCACAGAAGCCGGCCGGAAAGGGAGCTGCTGGCCTCCTGACCTGGCTCCACTCCGTCTCCGGGTTCTCACCATCCGCGGAGGAGACCAGGCCGGGAACAGCACAAAGGAGGCCAGCGACTAGGACCCCAGGGCAGCGCCAGGGACTGTGCCTGCCTTGCTTGCTGCTGGATGACCTGGGGCACTTTTCCTCTCCTGGCGGCAAGTGCGAGGCGGGGTGAAGACCCAGGCAGGCGGGGTGAAGACCCAGGCAGGCGGAAGACTTCCCACAGTGAGGCAAGAAAAACACTGGGCGAAGAGAGGCAGGGGCAGAGAGGGGTTCTGGGAGGCAGGACAAGCCACCAGGTCCTCCTGTCCAGCCGTCTGGGACCCACTGGCTCCCTCACCTGCCCGTCACTGTGCCATCACCCCATGTGTCCCTGCTCACATGAGTCCCACGTGCAGACAGTGTTTGGCTCCTGTTGTATCACTGGGTAAAAGGAAGCACAGAGAGACGAGCCAACGTATCTGAGGACACACAGCGACTGCTCAGTGAACACGAAGGGGGGCTGGGAGCTTGGGGCTTGGGGCCGGGTGGCCATGAATGAAGAGCCAGTTGCCCTGTTACGATGGGTTTCACACCAGCCAGCAGCACCTTTCGCAGATCAACCCACGCACCAGCTCCCTCACCCCACACTACACCAGCCACGCGGCCGTGCAGACTCAGGCTCCGGACCGTCCCGGGAGTCTGGGTGCCAGACCAGTGGCGGGACTGGCGGGCTGTTGCTCATCTGTTAACTGCTCCCCCGTGGGATTGAAGAAAACCCACGTCCCTTCCCTCCACCTTCAGAACCCTTCACACTCCTTCGGAGTCTTTTCAGGTCCCCTCGAAGGGGCCGATGAAGGGTGGCCTGGCTGCTCCCCTGTGCTTGTCCGGGGTAAGACACCCCCTCTGACTGTCTAAGGGTGTGTGTATCCGTCAGGACAGGCCGAGACGCTGAGGTAACCACAACCCTGAACGTCTCAGCGGCTGCGCAGTTTACTTCTCACTATGTGTCAGCAGAGGGGTCAGCAAGGGCCTGTGCTCCTGGTAGTCACCCAGGAGCCGGAGGCATCTTGACGGAAGGGAGGACCCGGGGAGCCTGCAGACATGCCTGAGCCCTGGCTGTGCCAGCCAGGAAGCCTGGCTCCCGCTGTGCTGTCTAAGTGCTAATGCCCAGAGGCATGAGTCTGTGCCAGGAGCCCAGCTGTTTCAGTGCCGGGCACAGACTGGAGAGAATGTAGGTCGTGGTGGCCCCCTGCCTTGGAGCAGGAGCTTGGTGCTGCTCCGAATAGCCCTTGGCGTCCCCAGTCCTAGCATCAGGCTGTGTCTGGGGCATGGAGAGCAGACCTGTGGGAGGTGGGCAAGGGGACTGGAAGTTACTCACGGCTGTGTTGGGAAGGGCTCAGACCATGCGAGCCGCCGGAAAGCAGACAAGGGCGGATTGGGGCACGCAAGCAGCCGTTCCTTCTTCCCTGGCGTGGACCTGGGTGCACGCAGCAAGAGGGAGAACTCCTCGGCTGCCAGACCAGTGACTGCGATTGTGGCGTTTTCTTATCTGGAGGTGACAGGGTATTAAAAAGGAGGCAGACTGTCCCTTCCACCCCACCAGCCACAGCTGGGCCGAGAAGACCCCGTGGGACCCGCCTGCAGCAGCCGGCTCCCAGATGAGCTGGATGCTGCTGTGACCCCTCCTGTCAGGAGCATTACACAGTGACAGTCACCCACAGGAGAGACGCCTGCCCTTCCACAGCTCAGGAGTCACAAGCTGCTCTGCCTGCAGCATGGCCTGAGGGAGAGGTGCCTTGGGGGGGCCACACCAGCCCAGGAGCTTGGGGGTCCCCTGGCAACAGCACTCAGTAATTCAGAAATGGTGGTGGGCAGGGGGTGGGATGCTGGCTTTCAGGGAAGAAAGCTGGAATTAGCAATGGTTCTTGTGAAGCCAAATGGATTGAAAATTCCTCCTTTGTTCCTATTGCCCAATAGCCACTGTCCCCTCCCTGCAGGCAAGTGTGGCTGCTCCTGGGTCAGCTGTGACGAAGGCTGTGTTATCTGCTCTGTCTTCTGTGACGCTAGAGGAAGCAGCACAGGGCAGCACAGGACAACGGTCCCTGCACATAGAATTTCCGCTGGGTGCTGGAATGTCTGTTCACACTGACGAGCAACACCCAGAGCCCCGCCCCCACCCTCCTGCAACACAAACACTTCCTGCTGTGCCTGGCACCGCTCTCTGGCTTGGCACTGCCCTTGGCATCTCTGGCCTGGAGAGGCAGCAGATGGTGATCGTGCCTGGTGCTGATATGACCTTTCCCAAGCTTACCCAGCCCTTGTGCAGACGTGACCTCACTTGAGCCCCATGAAGCGGGCAGGGAGGGCAGGTATGTCTGTTACCCAGAGGCTACAACATCGGCTACCAGGTACCAAGCTTCTGCCACATGGAGACACTCGGGAGACACTTTGCATATCCTCCGCGTATAATCCTAGCGCAGCCTGGAAACGGTACCTCTCTAAGCTGGACTCTTGAGCTGAGGTTCAAGAGAGGTTAACTAACAATCCAAAGTCACACAGACAGAAGGGGGTGGAGCTCAAACTTGAACCTAGGTCTGTGCAACACCACGTTCTGTGCTTCAGCCACGGAGCGTCCTGCCTCCTGCCAGCCTAGTGTGCCCCTCGCTGCAGCTGCCTCCAGCACCCACCCCCGGGGCTCTCCCTGGGCTCCAGGTGGCCTCAGGATGGCAGACAGCACACGAGTGTTTGCAGACGATTGCAAAATGCTTCTTATAAGTCGCTCGGCTAATGCCTCTGACCCTGTACTCCTGTCTTTCCCCAGCGGGTGACTGGCTGCATCCTCTCCAATGTCAACACACCCTCCATGACACCCGTGATTGGACAGCCCCAGAATGAGAACTCCCAGCCCATTTACCAGAACAACAATGTGTCCACCAAGCCCACTGCAGGTAGGGCACAGCGGTGCTCCTCAGACTGCAGAATCACCGAGGGCTTGTTAAATGCAGGTCGCGGGAGCGCCGCCCCAGCATTGGAGTCAGTGGGTCTGAGATGGGGAGGAGAGCGCATTTTTAACAAGGTGATGCTGGTGCTCTGGTCTCTGTATGAACAACCTTTAATATAGAGGAGCAGAGAGAAGGGATCGCAATGAGAGGGACAGGGGTGTGATGGTGTGCATTCTTCTGCATTTAAATATAAGTGTAACGGGCTCAACTGGAAATTAAAGATACCAAAAAAAGGAAGCATTTTTCTCTGCCTCTTCCAAAGAGGTTGGGGACATTGCCCAAGCTCAAATAGTGAGGAAGTGGTAGTAGGACCAGGAGTCAAATCTAGGCAGTCTGCATCCGGAGTCCCACACTCTTCCCCACCTCTGCAGTGACCGAGACCTGGGGCCCACACCTACCCGACACCTACCACTGTGTGTCCGCATGGTGCTCAGCGCTTTACATGGGTTCTTATTTAATGCAGTGATTCTGTGATAGATATTATGTTTCTATTCACATGAGATTCAGAGAAGGTCAGTGGCTTGTCTAAGAACACACAGCTCAAAAGTAGAAGAGCCAGAATTCATATTCGGGACTTTCCGACTCCAAGGTCTGTGTCCTTTCTAACATTTTCTTCCCGGCCGATTGCAAGGGACGGATCCTGGTATTACGTTTCAAACCTACAGACCACAGGCTATTATGCCAATAGTCTATTATAAACAGGGAAAGCCAGAAATTCATAGTTTGCATACAGCTACATGTGGGGATCAGAGAAAACGTCAGGGTTAGAGCCCAGAGGGATTCTTGAAAACCAGATACGTCTTAGCCAAAGTAGGGGGTCTGGTTGTGCCAGAGACCACCCACCTGCACGGGGAGGGCTGCCTAAGGCCAGCAGAAATGATTCCACACGAATTCTCTGCCACAGGCCCAGTCTGGGTGTTCGTGTTCCACGGGGGGTAAATGCTCATGATATTAAAACATGAATAAGCCAACAGCCAAACCCTTTAAACACAGGCTATAATTCAACGGATGTCACACAGACGTCGCTACATAAGACACATTTAAAAATTGGAAGAAAATAAATAATGTACCAATATGTCAGTGGTGGTGATCTCCAGGGGTGCTTTTATATTTTCCTTTTTATAGATCTTCTTCTTCTATATTTTCCGATTCTTCAACCGTGTAATAAACAGAGCCAGAGAATAGATGCCGGTCTGTGGCGCACAATGCTTGTGCCTTGGACTGTGAATGAGAAGGAGATTTTCCTGTCATGTTTCTGTTCTTTCTCTCTACCCTCCTTCTGTCCCCCACTGCCCCCCCACCCCCTCCAGTGCTCCCATTGTTTACAGCGGCCCAACACCGGGCTGACCGAGTGTAAGTTGTGAGTGGTTCTCTCCCTCTGTCCCTGTGTGTCTTGCTCTCTCCCACAGCCAAGATCTTGGGGAAGGTGGGAGAGAGCCTCAGTCGCATCTGCTGCGTCCGCCCGCCCGTGGAGCGCTTCACTTTTGTGGGTAAGGAGCGAGGGCCCTTTTCCCCAGTCCTGCCTCTTTTCTTTCCCTCCTCCCTTCATTTATTCAGCAACCCCGACCCCCAGCACCTGCTGGGGGACGGCCACTTACAGAGCAATGGTTTGGAGAAAAGAGGTTAAGGGGATGTCACCCGGCCTGCTGTGCTAGTGGGAGCGTTATGGGAGCCCAGAGCGCGTGCTTCACCAGCCCGGGCCGGCTGGAGACCCCACCCCCACAGCATGTGTCTGCATGGCTAAGAGTTTTCAGGGCCCCACAATCCTCCCTCAGGTCCTTCCAGCCCAGGCAGTGACTGTCCTCCTGGTGACGGGCTAAGAACACACACGTTCTTTCCTAGTTCCCTCTGCTTTTGGCTGTCCCTTGGGGACTTAGCATGGATGAGCCCATCCAAGTCCCTGGGGCTCTCTCAGAGTCCCCAGATTCAACTGCAGAAGAGCTGAAGGTCTAGACCTCTTCCTTTGACTCTTTGGGGCTGGCTCCTGTCATTTCTGAGATTTCCAATTTCAGGGGTCTTGAGAAGGAACTGAGAGGGGCGGTGGAGGAGGAAGGGAGGCAGGGGACCCAAGTGGCTTTGTGCACACCGTACACACCCATGCAGGCCTTGTGTACTCGCGAGCACACGTCAGAGGCTCTGGTGTTCACGCCTTCCTCGGGCACCTGCTGCATTCTGCCACGTGAAAAATCTCCAGTGCTCAGCTTTGCTTGTTCTTTAAACCAGGTAACCCCTAAGGAGAGAGGGCCACCTCCTTGCGACCCAAAGCAGTCTCCCTGTTTGGAGGACGTGGCTCTTTCCCCAAATACAGAAAGAAACAGAAGGTGCTCAGCATGAGTGTGTGTGTTCGTCACTGGCTCCCCAGCGAGGCTGTTCTAATTCCGACTGTCCCAGAAATGTGCCGTCTGCCCTGGAGCCTATGACGATGCCTCCTCTATTTTAGGCTGGACTTTGCTGTCCATTCATTCTCCTCAGATGTGCAAGGAGGCAGGCACCCCTACTCCCACCCACCCCACCTCCTCCATGTACTGCTTCCAAGGAGCCTGGGTGGACGGAGGATGGGGTGCCAAGAAGTCAGGGCCCTAATGCTTCTGCACTCCCCTCTCCCGCAGACGAGAATGCCAACCTGGGCACGGTGATGCGGTACGAGGAAATTGGTGAGTAGGGAGGAAAATCGGGTATTGGGAGCTGCCTGCCCCCACCGTGGGCAAAATGGGGGAGGGGAGAGGCTTGAAGACCCTGGGCGGTGTTCACTCTGGGTCAGCTCTCAGGAGAGTCTCAGGCTAAGTCCAAAGTCTCAGTGACCCCTGGTACACCGCCTAACTCCACGCACGCCAGTTCCCGGGGGGTAGGCCTGGAGCCCTTGGCAATTCGCCCCTTGGACCTCCTCCCTCACCCCACAGACATGGGAGCTGAGCTTCAGCACCAGCCAGAGAGACCCTTCTTTTGCCCACAACCCTGCACAGGAGTCAGAAGACCCTTGGATGATGGGGAGCAGAGAGGGAGCTGGAAGCCACCTCCACGACCTCCCCCTGGCCTTGGGCTGAGGCTAAGGCATCCGCTGTCCATGGGAGGGCAGCAGGGGCTCAAGGCCAGAGCAGGTGGAGGCGGTTACAGGGAGCCATCCGATGGGAAGGAGCCCCCCACCCCCCGGGGGAGGGAACTGAGTCCTGGCTAACCCTGGGGAGCAAACCAGAAAACTGAAATCCTTCCAAGGTTCCAGAGTGGGTGAGAGACACCAATAGGGGACACAAATAATCTGACGCTGGAGAAAGAGCAGACAGATGCCAGAAGGCAGCTGGAGTTGGCTCAGGTACCAGGTGACAAGGAGGGTCAGTGACAACGGAATGCCTGGATCTCTCGGATGTGGGGCAGCCGTGTGTCCAGCAGACACGCTCAATTTTTTTTTTTTTAATCCTCCCCGAGGACATTTTTTTCCCCCTCAAATAGAATAGGAGGAAGAGAGAGAGAGAAACATTGATGTGAAAGGCACACATGGTGGCTGCCACCCACACAACCCAACCAGGGCCAGGGACAAACTGCAACCATGGTACATGCCCTTAGCGGGAACCGAACCCTGGTCTCCCTGGACCGCAGGCCAACGCTCTAACCACTGAGAAAACCAGCCAGGGCCCGAGGACATTTTTTCCATTTTTTGTTCAGATAGAGTGGGAGGGAGAGAGAGAGAGAAAAACGTCAATGTGAAAGGGACACATCAAGTGGCTGCCACCCACACAACCCAACCAGGGCCAGGGACAAACTGCAACCGAGGTACATGCCCTTAGCGGGAACTGAACCCAGGACTCTCTGGACCGCAGGCCGATGCTCTAACCGCTGAGCCAAATCGGCCAGGGCCAGACATGCTCAATTTTAAATGGCCAGCTGCAAAGACACCGCCAGTGTCCCCGCCGGGAGTCCTTTCTCTAGGGTTGGAGGTCACGGCCTCTTGCAGCGACCCTGGGAGGTGGGCTGTTGTTGAGCATCAGGTTCTCCCAGGAGGCCCAGCAGATGTGATGTCATTTCCAGGGGTTTCTCTGGGTTTTGTCCTCTGACCTGAGGTGCACGCGACTCAGCTCTAACTGGTTGGATAGAACCGTCCATCAGATTTTCAGGAATTCTACGAATCAGTTGCTAAATGCAGCCAATATGAAATATTAAATCATGTTATATTAATAAATTATATTAAGTAACAGTTAAATAAATTGCATTAAAAATGAAATAATGAATACTCAAAACTCCTCATTCCCTAATTATTTTACTGTATCTTAATAGCCTGTATTTACCGGCACAGCACTGTCCGAGGGCCACAAACAGCAGCCCCTGGCTTCCCGGTTGCTCCCCAAAGCAGGAAGGAGCATCTGGCTCCAGGTTGCACAGCCCCCGACGCCCGAAAGGCCAGGATGGGAGCAAAGCCCTGCACCCACTTCCCTGAGGTCCCAGCCTGGGCAGGACGACCTTCTAGGAAGTCTCGACCAGCAGAGCTCAGAGCAGGCTTTGGACTGTCACCTGTATTCCAACGTATATTCCTCTCGGTCCTGTCCCATAAAGAACTTACCGTGGCCTGTTTACCTTCCCAGCACCCAGGGCCAGGGTATTCCCAAGGCCTGCCCCGGGGTTCCCCCTTCTACAGAAAGGCAAAGCCAATGGGTGTCTGCACAGGGCAAGTGCTCAGCACCCACTGCAGCCTCCGGAGGGCAGGGCTAGTCTTAGCCTCACCTTCCTTACTCCACAGGGGGGCACGGGTGGTGGCTGCCTGTGTACAGTGGAGCTGGGAGGGCCCAAGGCCCGGGCTTCACGCGGCACATTCCTGGGTGGGGAGTGTGCCTGGGGAGCACAGGGCTGCGGGCCTGGATCCTTGGATGGGGTGAAATGGGGAAGTGGGAGGGAGCTGCCCTGACTCTGGACCTCTGTGCTGGGAAGCCCTCTGGCTCCCGGGTTCCCTTTTTGTAATCCCTTCGAACATGCTTCACAAGAAGGAAAAAGCCATTTTTCTCCCAGCTCGGTTGGCTTCTATGGCTCCATGTTCTTAACCAGCTGGCTGGTGGCGGGGGCTGCCCCAGACCAAAGGCTGTTTGGACTGGAAAGGCCTGCAGTATTCATGCAATAAACTAGGAGAAATCACGGCTGCCCTCTAGTGGCCACACGTGGGATCCCAAGCCCTGGGTGGGCCTCTGCTCTGGTCCTGCGAGAAGGTGGAGGCCCCACTCTAACTGTCCATGCTCTGGCTTTCTAAAAAAAAAAAAGTAACCCAGCATCATACTCTAGTGGGAAAGTGACTCTCTAGCTGGAGAATAGAAAAGAGATTCCTTTCCATGGCTATAGAGCAGAGCTTCTCAACGGGGCTACTGACATTTGGAGACGGACACTTGGGTTGTGGGGGCTGCTGCCTCCAGGGTGGCCGGCTGAGCGGCATCCCTGCCCTCAGACCGAGGTGCCAGCAGCACGCCCGCCCCCCAGTCTCGACAACCAGAAATGTCTCCGGGCGTTGCCAAGTTCTGGAGACAAAATTGCCCCCGCTGCAAACCACTGAGGGGTGCAGACAGCTGAAGGCCACCACATCCTCCGGACACGGTCCCCTAATGCACTCTCAGGTGACTCGAGTTGCAGAGCCTCAGTCTTCCCACAGAGAACCGACCTGGCGGCTCCGAGTGGGGCTGGGGAACAAGATCCCCGGAGGGAACGGGTCTGGCTCCTCTCATACCAGGGCCGGTTCACCTCCACAGGTGGGGACCAGGGCCAGCAATCCTGTGGCATAGCACAGAGGGAGGGAGGCACTGTTGACCAGGCCCCAGGCCCCAGGCCCCCAGGCCATAAGAGCAAGGCCATGAGGTGAGCTCGGCCGGCGCAGACTGCCCAGAGGCGCTACCTGCATGGCCTCTGTGGTCAGCTTGTCTGCCACTCACTTATCCATACGTCCCGAGCACCTACTGTGTGCAGGTCACTCTGTGCGGCCCTGGACATGCAAAGGTAGATTAAGGTCTCTGCGCATACACAGATCATCTAGCTGCAGTAAGACACGGGGAGGAGGGGCAGCAGGAATATTGAGGAGTTAAAACCCCGGTGCTCAACGGGCTCCCTGAGAATGGTCTGCCCGGTGGGACAATGAGACACTGGCCCTGTCAGTCATCAGCCCCAGCAGCCTTCCTCTGAGCCGTCTGAGACACTTACAGCAGGGACAGGCTCAGGATCGCAAAGTCCCGGTCAGGTCCCTGAGCCAGCTGTGGGTCTAAGATCATTTCCGCCTCAGGGTCTGGGGCGGCAGGGTCTCTGGAAGCCTCAAGGGGGCCTGTCTCACTGCTTCAGACAAGATGCCATAGCCACGGCCTCTTGGCGGAGGGCCTGGGCTGGCTCCGAACTAAACACACCACCCTGAGCCCCACCCCAGGTGGCGGTCTCTCCCCTGTGTCCCGAGAACCCCAGGATTTGTATCCCCCATTGCTCCGTTTTAACGAGCGAGTAGGTTTGCTGCCTGTTTTAAACCGCGATGGGCCTCCCTGGGCTAATTCAGAGCGAGCTCAATGAGGGAGGAAAACAGCCGACGGTCGGGAGTGTGCTGGGAGTCAGACGGGTGCTCAGCGTGGCTTCTCAGTCCCTCTGTTGAGGACAGTGGCCACGTAAGGAGAGGGCATCCGATGACCTCCGCCACTGCCTGGGCCCACTCCCTGCCCCCCACGACCCCTATCGGCATGTGTGATGGGAGACGAACCCAGACAGCACAGCAGAGCAGCCCGCACCCCCAACACTCGGGTCTGATGTGAAGCAACAGAGAGCTGGCTCCATCCCTGCCAGAGTGACCACCATCCTGGTTTAGCACAGAAAGACCTGTGTCCCCAGGAACCTCAGTACCAGCAAACCAGGCTCTCCCGGAGTAATTCCTCCCGCAGGAGACGGGGGCGGGCAAGCCCGAGGGAGAGGCGAGCACACGCCCGGTGCCCGGTGTCTGGGAGACGGGCTCTGGGGCCCCAGGGCGGGAGGCCGACTTCTGGGCGCATCGGGAAGAAGGCTGAGAGCCTGTGCCCAGCTCTCACTCTCTCCCTTGCACACTGTCCTCTCTGCAGAGCTGCGGATCCTGCTGCTGTGCGGCAGCGACCTGCTGGAGTCCTTCTGCATCCCAGGGCTCTGGAACGAGGCGGACGTGAGTAGCCAGATCACAGCACGGCCCAGCCGGCGGGGGAAGGGAGGCAGGGGGCTTGATTTTGGCCTCTGGTCTTCCCTCTCTCCATAGCCTCCACCCCAGCCTGAGCCTCCCCTGTCCTAGGAGCTCCCAGGGGGGCAATCCCTTCATATCTCCAGGGAGGGAAATTCTCACCTGCCACGAGCTGAGCTGTATCTCCTCCTGCATTTTCACGCCCTCTTCCGCATGCTTGCTCCTGTTAAGCCTTTGAGGAAAAAGCAGCCGGAGTCACAGATACCTTCTCCAAGGAATGCTGGGGCGGGGACGGGGTGGACTGTGTGTGCTCCTGAGAGGTTGGGGTGGGGGTGGGGGACCTGAATTACAGTTTTGTTTCCTTCCATTCCTTTTGAAGAGGTAGTAAATATCACCCTAGAATTCCCTCAGCAGCAGAACGGGTCAAGAGGGGACATTAATGGCAAAGGGTCAGTAGGATCATTCTGACAATTGACTTGGAATAGAGGGAACGAGGAAGCTGGACTTATGTCATGGAGAAGCTCAGTGGACATCTTCTGTTACCAGATCTGATCGGCAGGGTTTTAAGCCAGCTAACATAAGCTGCGCCCCCTTCATACGTCCATTCGTTCTTGTCCTTAAATTGATTCATTCATCTGATAGCCAGAGCTAAGGTTCCCAGTCCTGTAGCCCTTGGCAAGCTGAGTCTCAGAGCAGTAATTCCAGACCCAGTGCTTTTTACTAACGAGCTGTGTGACTCTGTGCAAATCACTCAACAACTCTGGGCCTCAGTTGTTGTTTTTAGTGTTTCTTTTTTTTTAACCCATGAAATTTATAGAATGTTATCTATAGCAGTCAGAGATTGTAAATAAATATACAATCCAGTCCTTGCCTCCAAGTATTAGGTGGCAAGATGGATACATATGAAATTTTTTCATATTATATATATAATGTCTCCGGGGGGAGAGAGAGAGAGAGATCCGATAGGATCAGACTCAGGATTCTAGTTCTACTCTAAGACAACTCATGACAAAACGTTCTGAGCATCAGATTTGCCCACCTCCAATGTGGGCATAATAATGGTACCCACAGCTGGGAGCATTCAATGCGACTGTCTACGTAGAGCGCCTTGCCTAGCCCCGACACACTGCTAGACAGCAGGTGTTGATGAGCGAGCTCACCCGCGCAGACTCGCAGGTGCACAGAGGTGTTCCGGGTGAAGGACGTCCTGCTGTGGGACACCGGGGGAGGGGGAGCCTCTGCAAAGACGCTGTGTCGTCCTTTCATGGCCAGACCTCAAGATTTCTGGCAGGTGAAATTCTAAACCCCATTCAGTTCTGGAGCAGGTGACGCGGTGACTTGTACTTCCCTCCACGTCACGATGAGCCGTGAGGTGGAGAGCAGGCGGGCTCTGTGCAGGGACGCAGCAAGGGCTGCCAAGCACCCAGGCAAACCCGGCTACTGCCTGGGCCCGCCCCAGGGCCGCTGGGTGGTCAGGGCAGGAAGTGGCAGCGAACAGAGCAGGGAGCCCCTTTGTATTCTGATGGTATGTCCCCTATTTTCTCTCTCGCCCTTAGGACATCTGGGGAAACCTCTTCAGTGAGTTTAAAACCAAGGACCTCAGCCCTGGCCAGTTTGGCTCAGCGGTTGGAGCGTCGGCCTGCGGTCCGGAGAGACCCGGGTTCGGTTCCCGCTAAGGGCATGTACCTTGGTTGCAGTTTGTCCCCGGCCCTGGTTGGTCGTGCGGGTGGCAGCCACTCGATGTGTCCCTTCACGTCGATGTTTCTCTCTCTCTCTCCCTTCCTCTCTCTCCCTATCTGTACAAAAAATGGAAAAATATCCTCGGGTGAGGATTAAAAAAAAAAATTTAAAACCAAGGACCTCAAAACATGCTGTTTTGGGCCCTGCAAATTCCTCTCGTAAAGGGTCTGGTCCTCTGCTAGAAATATGGTTGGGGTTAGGCAAAGAGGGTGGAGGGAGCAGGAAACCCAGTGAATTACTCTACTGTCCTTACTGGGGAGGGTTAGCTCTCCAGGTCCAGAAAAGGAAGGTCTTTCTTTCAAGCCTGGGTACGGGGTGAGCCCTGCTTATTCTGGAAAGCTCTCCCATCGGAGGTTTTCCTGGAAGGAGCCCGTTTTAGGAATACCAGTTCCTAACCCTGAGGTTACTCGGGATGACGTATGTGAGACCCGTTTCCGTCCCAGGCTTCATTCATCCCTTCAACATTCTCAGAACACCGGGCGAGCCCCAAGGCTTAGTCTGCCCTGATGGCAGGAGAATAAAGATCCTGGAAAAGTCCTGGGCCCTGGCTTTGTATTCCAGTCCCCACGTTTTCTCCAGAATCCTCAGAAACCAGACAGGAGAGAAGCCACCAGTCCCAGCAGGTCAGAGGAGAAACAGAAACCTCTCCACCGCTCTGTAAGAAAGGTCCAGGGAGACGCGGACAGCGCTGTCCCCACGCGGGGCTGGAAGCAGCCGAGACCGTCTGTTCTACAGCAGGACGGCCGAGGCCTTCTTCCTTCACAAATCCTGCTGAGCCCCTCTTGCCCTTCTTGGCTTTGGATTCCTGAGCCAATGCTCTTCGTCCAGAAATCTAAGTACACACTCAAGAAACAACCCAGCCCTGGCCGGTTTGGCTCAGCGGTTGGAGCATCGGCCTGCGGTACAGAGAGACCCGGGTTCGGTTCCCGCTAAGGGCACGTACCTCGGTTGCAGTTTGTCCCCGGCCCTGGTTGGTTGTGCGGGTGGCAGCCACTCGATGTGTCCCTTCACATAGATGTTTCTCTCTCTCTCTCTCCCTCCCGCTCTATCTGAACGAAAAATGGAAAAATGTCCTGGGGTGAGGATAAAAAAAAGAAAAAAGAAAAGAAACAACCCAGCCCCACCCAAACACTCCTTGGACATTTTCTGTTAGGCACAGAGACCCATTAGCTCTTCCGAGCATTCTGACCTCTGACCAATGACACGCCCTTGCCCCTTACATTCCGCGGGGAGAAAATTCCATACATATTCACCAAGTCGCTCTCCGTAGAACCCCAGAGAGCTGCTGTGTGTCCCGGCGGTTGGCATTTTCATTCTTGATTCCAGGGGGATTAAGGTCCAGGTCCTGGGCTAGCCTTGGCCCTCAGGTAGCAGCCCCCAGCCCGTCCCATTTCCGGACTTCTTGTTAGAGAACTGGTCTCCCCCAGAAGACCTGACCTTTGCCCTGCTGCTCCCTGACGCCAGCCCAAAGCGGGTATCCAGGCAGGACCCAGGCTGGTGGGAAACCAAGGCCAAAGGCTAAAAGGTCAGCCACGGACAAAGCAGGAAGGTATCACACTCACTCACTCCCCTCCCCCAAACAAACCCCCGTGGTCTGCGGGCCTGGTGCTGCCAGCTGTCCCCACTGTGTTCCAGCCGAAGGCGTCTGGCAGACTAAGTCTGATGCGAGCTTTCTTTCCTTCCCGCAGTCTTGCAGCTGATACTTATCGAGGGCCCGGCATGAGCATCAGCACCTTCTCTGCCCACGAGGCTCCTGCAGTCTAAAAACATCTTATGTTTTATTATAGCAGTCCCCTATAGTCCATGAAATAAAACATGTGAAAGGTTCAGAAGAGTTTCTGATCCTAGTAAGCACTCAATGAATGCCGGCCGTTATTCACTGATTGGTTTTTAACTATTGAGTAGCTGCTATGAGCCACTGTTCTAGGGCTGGAGGAACAGAGAAAACGAAACAGACCCAGTTCCCCCAACTGCGCTGTGTGCTTTACCTCCTAGAGGGGAGACAGACCGTAAACTCTTGGGTTGTGTCTCAGTTAACCCCTAGAACATTCCTGTGAGCTGGGATCTCCATTCCTGTTTACAGCTATGGAAACCAGGGCTCACATGCATTGTGACTTGTCCAAGACTACCTAACTACTGAATAGCAGAGCAGGACTTTGCATGAATCTTCAGATCCCTAATCCAGATGAGACTGACTAGTGAGAGGGATGATACGTGTAATTCACAGCAGGCCAGGGAGGAGGCAGCACTGAGCTGAGCGTTGAGTGATGGGCAGGACTGGATTAAGTGGGTGGAAAGGGAAGGCTTTGGGGGTTGAGAGAAGGCTGTACAAGATCCAGTGGCGGGAACAAGACCTTTAGGGGAGATGGTTCGGCCGGATGAACCAGAAGGTTTATCTTGGTCTTTTTATTTGGGAAGTTTTTGACTTATCAGCAAGCTGGCAAAATCATTACATTTAATGCCTAAATGCATTAGCTACTCTCAAACATTATTTGCCTTTTAAATGAGCGAGGGTCAATATTTAACCTAAAGGAATGAAAATCTAAAGGGACATTAGACACCAGAGATGGGCCAAGGAGGAAAATGTTTTTTTTTTTTTCCCTTCTTTTTCTTTCTTTTTGCATTTCTCAAAGCCTAGCATTCCCCGGGCTAGCTCTCATTGGCTGGAGCCAACATTTTTCCAGCCAACCAGCCGTGAGCTAACTGCTTCCTCCATCCACCAGCTATGGGAAACCAACCAAGGCAAATAAACAGAGGAAGAGCCTGGGGCAATGGCCACTCCAGAAGAAATCCCTGGGCTCCAGGACAAATGGAGCAAAGACAAACATTTGGGTTTTCAGGCTCAGATGGTTTCTATCAGACAGTGCGGCCTTGGCCAGGAAGCCCGATGGACACTTCCACCCTGGGGGTTAGGTCCCCCACTGATGACTGTGCTGAATTCACAGGGAAGCAGGCTCAGCCGGTTCTCGTGTGAAAGGCTCTGCTGGCTTGGTTTTCAGGCTGTTGACCGGAGTCTGGAATCCCCTGCCTCCCACACCCCAGGCAAACTGGAAATGGGAGTGGGGATGGTTTTCCCTGGGAAACCCTCTGGAGCATCATCACTCATGTGTTTGCACTGAGGCGTTCTGGAAATGCATTCCCTGCTTCTCGCCTCTGATGGCCCTCGGGTCTGCTCGGCCTCCCACCCAGAGAGGAGCAGGGGCCAGAGCCAGGGTGGCCGACTCTTTACTGATGTGGGTGGAGCAGGT